TTTTAACATGCTGTTAAATTGAGTTAGTATTTTGTTGAAGCTTTCTCCATCAATATAAATAAGATACTGGACTGGCCTATATTTTTTTCAATTACTATCATTATCTGGTTTTGTTACTAGAGTCATTCTTTTCTCAGAACAAGTCTGGATGTTTTCCATCCTCTTCAATTATTTTGGAAGAGATTAGAGGTTGGGTTAGTTATTTTTTAAATGTTTTATAAAATTAATTCGTGAAGATTTGTTTCTGGTTTTTTGTTGAAATATTTTTTTCTTATTTTTAGAAAAAAAAATTGTAATAACACATAATGTAAAATCATTAAGTATGCATATCAGCACTCTTAATCTTCACATTGTTGTGCAACAAATAGTTAGACCTACTTTATAAACATAAACTCTAAATCATGGAGCGACTTCTTATTTTCCACTCTTCCTAAACCCTGACAACCACAATTCTCTGTGTTTCTATGAGCTTGATTATTCTAAATACTTCCTATTAAATGTTATTTTATGGCTGGCTTGTTCTACTTACATTAACATTCTCAAGGTTCATCCATATTACAGAATGTAATAGGATTTATTTCTTTCTAAAATTGAAGAAACTTTACATTGTATGTATATACCACCTTTTTTTTTTTAATCACTCATCCACTGTTGGGCAATTGGGTTTATTGCACCTCTGAACTGCGGTGAATAATGCTACTATGAATATGGGTGTGCAGATATTCCTTCCATATTCTGCTTTCAGTTGTTTTGCACACATATTCAGAGGTAGGGTTGCCATGGTAATTCTATTTTGAATGTGCAAGGCACAGCCATCCTGTTTTCTATATTTGCACGTCAGAGTTCAGCTCTGACAGGGGGCCAGTCAGGGTCTTCTTCCCAAAGAATGAGGCGGTGTTGGCGAAATGAGCAATTGAGGCAGACACTGACACTCTAGCTGGTGCAAGTATCTCCTGCCGAAAACTTCAGCTGTTCTTTAAATAATTTCCAAGAGGTGAGGTTATATCAGTGTGGGCATTGAAGCAAATCTTTAATAATTCATTCCATGGCTACACCAAAACATTTGTGGTTACATGTTACAAAGAAAACCACCAAAACCAAGCAACATCCCCAGTTTTTCAGCATGATCAGTCATTCTAGAGAGCATCTCAAGTAAAGCAGCAAGTCCTTCTTTGAACAATCCTTTCTCAGGTTAAATCTGGATTCAGATCTGTTTCTTTAAGTCCCTCCAAACTGTCCCAGGAGGAGATATATCCTGATCATGTTTACCTATATTCCTAAAGACAATGTACACTCTTGATTTATGCGAAGGTACTTTTCTGAGAAAACCATTGTCAATTAACCAGTTATCGATGTCCAATTAGGCCGCAAACAAAAGAAGGCCAGGAATCACTTAATGGTCAAATACAATTGCTATTGGCCAAAAACAATTACAAGGTAGTTCAGTAAGCATTGATATAGATACTCCCCTTAGTATGTCTTCTTGGGAACTAAGCAGCCTCCATTTTCTAGGGAGCCTCCCCCTTGCCCGGATCTTGTCATAAGACAGCATGGGTAGCATCGCCTACATCACTTTCCAACAAAAGCACAATATTTCTAGTTTGCCCAAATGTTCATCAATAAGTGTTCATTATTTTTTTTCTTTTTGATATTATTCAGCCTAAAAGATATATGGAATGAGATCTCAGTGAAGTTTTGATTTGCTTTTCTCTAATAATTAGTAATGTAGAACTCCTCATGTGTTTGGACCTATGTGATTTTTTTTTCCTGATTTCTCTATATTCTTAGTTTTTAAAAGACCTTGTGAATTTTCCTTTCTCATAGAATCTCACACTGCTTCTTTGATGGGCTGTAGATATTCCATTGCATTTCATCACCAATTTCTTGTCCTGTGCATCTATAGTTTTCAGGAACATTGTTAGTTTTCCCCTAGCCTGAGTATAGGTTCTGAAACCTGACACTCTAAAATCTGACATAGAAGCCAACCTTTTAGGTGAGGATCACACAATTCAAACATTGTCAGTGTTCTCTGATTTGTGGGATAGATATGAACATTGATTGCTTGCTTCCCCCAAAGCACATGGCTGCATTGGAGAAGGGGTAGAGCAGGAAGAGTTAAAATGCTGCATGATTCCTACCATTTTGAACATGTCTTTCCTGATTGTACATCCGTTTGATTGCTGTAAATCTTTGATTTCAGAGTTCCAATAAGATTATTTTAACCAGCCTTTCATTATTGCTTGAACATTCTATAAGGGCTTGGAATGGGATGGTGAGACAAGCCTTATTGTTTCCATCTTGCTGAAGTTACTGTCAAAGTTGCAGTTTGACGTTTGTTTGCATTTCCCAGAGGTTTTGAGCTCTTTTGTGTTGGATCAATAAAAGTGAAATTAATTGGATATTTATATATGTATTTTTTCTGCCTATTTTTGTCCTTTTTCCATTGATTTATATGAATTATTTATGGATTCTGAATCATATACCTTTGTAGTTCATAGACTGCAGCAGCTCTTTCTTGTTGCTATACTATTGCTATTGTTTGATTCTAAGTTTTTAAATTTTCTTTTGCTACCATAGTTATTCATTTTCCTTCGTTTTTAAAAAAATATTTCATATCCAAAATTTATGAAGATATTTTTCTTTTTTCATTTTTTTTAAATATATCAGTTAGTGATCAATCATCAATGCTTCTTCTCTTATTGCAATATATTTGATTTAATCAGGCTGTTCTCATAACCGTAGTTGTGGAGGCCTCCCTGCTAGTGCAGGGATTTAGACACAACATTATGAAGCATTTACCAGCCACTATGACATGAGTTCAGTCCCTGGCCAGGAAGTGACACACATGATGCACTCGCTCCCACTCGCTCCTCCCCTCAACAGTATTTTTAAGTAGATCTGCCTGTTGTTCCCCCTCTGTCTCTGGTGAATTATTTCACCTCCCCATATGTCTCCCAATTTTTGTGCATAAGGAAATAAATCTTTAAAAAAATAAATAACTGTAACTGGGAGGTGTACTACTCAGTGAGACTCAATCCTTGTAGATAACTTTGCTGATTTTATACTTTAAATTTAATTAAAAATTCAGCATTTCCCTCAATTCAGCTTAAAATGTTTTAGACTTTTCCAGTCAAAGAGTCCTCTGTAATACTCTTTGGTATTACATATTGTATTATGAAGGTTTGTTAGAATCTAAGAATAGTTGTTAGAATTTCATATTTAATAAATGTGGGATACATGATTTTACATCAATATCAGTACTATTTGTAGAGAATGTACAAAAAGACTATCTGCAGATTTTTTCATGTGTAATGTTTTCACAATGATAAAAAAGTACCTTTGGTGAACATTTCCATATATATTATATGCTTCCAGAAGTGTTAATATATAATGTTTCACATCATTTGAGAGACTTTTATGGGATTGTTAACTTTTATCACATGCATTGCCACTCTAAGCACCCTTGTTATTATTGAAGCAAATAATTGTAACTTGTACAGATAATTTTTTTTTATGTGAAGCATTGCTACCCAGTGAAATACCTATTAAAACATGAGGAGCACTCATGAAACCTAGAATGGAAAATGCATTTTCTAAATATTTTCCATTTGAAAATATTTTTAAAAGTATGATATAAAATTAAATAATAAAACAGACCTAACAGTGCTGTATTTTACTAAATCATTCATGGTGCTAGAAAAAGACTTTGATTCCCATAGTTATGCCTTCAATATGCTGTTGACATCTTTGTGTACTTGATTGACAATATCTGCGATAGGGAAAGCAGAAGTGATATGATCAGTGACCACAGTCCAACTGGAGGACTTGATGGCAGCATCTGACCTCCATGACCCCACCCCAAAGAAGAAGTAGATAGAGGTAGCAGTCACCACAGTGCATAGGGTATATTGCATATATAAATATATTGAAATCATATGATTCTCTTGATGCTTTTTCATCCTGGTCATTAATTTCAACCCTTAAAGTATAATATGAAGTTTGTTGTTACTATGCTTGTTTATAAGGAAACTGGAAATAAGAGAGACTATACCTGAGGACGGAAATTTTGTATTGTCGGAATGCTAACAATGTTATAAAACAACAGTACTTCAATTAAAAAAAAAAAAAAAACTTAAAGAGCGATCAGCTTTACACAGAATCCTAGAAATAACCTTAATGGCAGAGATGATATTTGAGTTTGGCTTCTTCCTACACTTATTTGTATTTTGTCATGCAGAGGTAGCTCTGGCAAACATATCCATGATATACATTATCATTAGGAATGATCAAACTTGAGATCACATAGTCTATTTTCCTCCCAAATTACACATTTATCAGTTACAGATTTGAATTTAGGTCATTAATAATAACCTTTTCGTCCTTTCCCTATTTATAACTGTCTTTATGCATCTAAGGTATGGTTATTATGAACCACCTGATAGTCATTTTTGGTTTTTGAATGAACTCTTGTTTCTGTTATATCTTACAATATGACTCAGTCACACTTCAAAATTCTGCATTATGTATCAGTAAAACTTTCTGAGGTTATTGTCTTGATAAGTTAAACATTGAAAGTTTTGACTTATATGAAGTATTTGGAGTAGTCAAACTCATAGACACATATAGTAGAATAAAAACTAACTGGGGTTAATAGATGAGATTGTGAGGATATGTTAATGGACATAGAGTTGCAGTTTTTCCCACTTGAAAATGTTCTGGAAATTAGTTATATATCAGATCTGTATATAACACTACTGAACGGTAATATTAAAAATGGTTGTGATGGTAAGTTTTATGTTACGTGTATTTTTACCACAATTCAAATATACAGATGTTGATTTATAAGACTAATTGAGACATGGAATTAACAAAAAGTCACTTTTAAAACTTTATTAAAAAATCTCCTCTGAAGTTTTCACCTCTGTGAATATAATCTCCATGTAAGTTAAAATATGACACTTTAGGACACTAGTACTTATTAACTTATTCTTTATTCACAGTGATCTGCAGCCCTGGATCTTATAACCCCCGTGATGGAGTTCACTGCCTTCAGTGCAATAGCAGCCTGGTGTTTGGAGCAAAAGCATGTTTATAGGCCATTGTTTGAGGTCTTCTATGGTTTATTGACACACAAAAAAATATAGCTTTGAAATACTAATATATAATAAATCACTATATTAAATATATTTGATTTTACAAAAAAAAGTGTCATCACTTTAATTGAAACACTATATCCAAAATGTTTTACATAGTAATCTTTATTAATGCCAGACCTGTGATTGACTCTAAAATGTCACTGATTTTTAAAAATTATTTCAAATATTAAAGCATATTAGACTAATCCAGAAGTTTTCAAAAATATCCCATTCTGTCATTGTATGTTGACAAAATGCTCACAATCATATTCTTCCATAGTCATATTAATTGCAGATCATTTTATTTAGCTTTATGGGTTTTTATTTCTTCTAGTTTCACCTTTCATAATTCAAAATCACTTTTTTTAAAAAGGCTTAGAAGTCTAATATATCATTTTTTAGTCTATAGTACAAGGAATAGTCCCAAATACATCAGAAGTTTTTAATTGAATCAAATGAATCTGCCTGTTCTGCTCCCCACTCTGTCTCTGGTGAATCCTCTCACGGCCCTTGCACCTCTGGCCTGTACCCCAGTTCTGTATGAATAAATAAATAAATCTTCAAAAAAAAAAAAAAAGAGTCTGGGAAGGCAGAGACAGATTTATAATATGTGAGGTGTTAAGAGGTATTCAAGTCCAGATCTGATCAGGAAGATGGGTGATCTGCGATGAGTAGAAAAACAACAGAGGTGTATTAGCGTAAGCTAGTGGAACTTTTGCTTATAAAAGCAGACTGAATATAAGATCACATAAATTTCAAAGGGAAGAAAAAGGTAACATTTTAAAATCAGGCCATAAAAACAATTTGCAGAAGTTGGAGCAGAGAGCAAAACAGAGAAAGGAGAAATGTAACTTCTTTTCTTGGATCCCTCAATGAAATACTCTTTGTTCTATTTTATTAGTTTTATTTTAGTTGTGTGTGTATTCATTCATTCCAAGTTAGGTATTCTTAATTTCCTAGTTATTTTCATAGCACACTGTTTTGTGCCTCATTTTTTTTAATTAATAGATTATTAAAGGTCTATGAATATAATTCATTAGGATAAATTTTGTTTGTTATATTAACAGATGGAGATGTTGAAAGTTGTTTAAATTGATGATAATTGTATGATAAAATTTTTAAACTAATTACCAATACATATTATTATAAGGCAATTCCAAGTGTTTATTGTTTTTTGTATCATAATATATTTTATATACTGTCTTTATTTTATTGAAACATTCTTTAAAAACTACATGATACTCTGAGTTTAGTAGTGCACATGGTTCTCATTTTTTATTTTGCTAATTGGATATTTTTCTCATTAAAAATGTGCAAATATGTATTCATTTGGCAGTATATAAAATGAGCCTTGACAAGTTAGGTCTAGTAGTTTCATTTAAAGGAAACTGTCCTTGGACGTTAAATAAAAAGTCTGGTGAGATGCCCAGCAGTATTATTTTTTGCATTATATGTAGCATTGAAAATTGAAATAATCTAAATGACCTCTAAAAGCAAATGTTTGAATAAATTTTGCTATTTCCATATGATGGAATGTTATGTATCATTTAGATTTTTAAAGCAAATGAACCAAAATGTCAATTTCATCAAAGCGCCTCTCATGATAAGATCATATATGTTAGTTTTTTTTTTTTAATTAGTTATAATATGGAGAAAAGACTTCTCCTCTTCCTAAAAGTAGCAAGTTACTTTAATCCTGTCTTCTGGAGTTACATAATGTCCTGCTTGAGGGGGTATTTGTCCCAGGTGAGTGTAGAGCTGGCAGAGGAGTGCCCCATGTGCCTTCCTTACCCTCAGTCACTTTTTCTTCTTTCCTCAGGCCTCCTCAGTGTAGACTTTGTTCCATAATTGCAACAGCAGGTGCAGGTTGCTACTGTGCTTCTAGGAATTAAGTTTACCTTCCACTCAGAAAAGGTGAAAATGGAAGTCCATTACAGGACTTTTACATTATATTAATGCAGTGTTACAAATATACCTGAAACTGTGAGTGGAAAGTTAATATGTTCATTTTAAAGTTCCATTAATGGAGGCAAAGGGACTAAAATAATGAAAGTGTGTGTTTGGGGAGGGGGATATGAACTTGGGATGAGTATATAGTGGACCAATGTATAGTATAGTATACAGATCATCCCTTTAGTTTATAGTGATCCATACCCTTCACATTAATCAACTGTACAAGTAATATACTATTTACTTCCTCATGGACTGCAGCTTCAAACTCTCACCTAGTTGCTGCATGCAAGCTAAGGTTTAAAATAAGGGGTTATGTGTAAAAGGTCCAGGGCCCCTCTGGTCTACAGACCATTGTTATGCCTCCACTTTCCCCAGGTGATGAGAGAAAGGCAACTTATTTAAAATAGCCACATAGAAAAGGAAAAAAGAGAAAAACACCCTAGTCATTGATTACAGGTAGACAAGGCATAGTGAGATCTTTGTGCTATAAGATTGGTGCAGGATCATTGATTAATCTCTGATTCTATCCATTGTATTCCACTTTATGCAACTCCTATAGTTTCTATTCCTTCTCTGTTAGAAGTCAGAGGTTCAGGATCACTGCCAAGGTTGAATTATTCAAGGAGCCATACAGTGGGTTGGGTTGTGTCATCAAACTAAAACATGGTGAGAAAAGATGAAGAGGTACTTCAAGAGCCCCATGTTCTCTTCATTCTCTTCTGCTCAGTATCTATCTTGCCCCTGGAATTCTGACTCTGTGGAACTACAATCACTTCAGGCATTCCATCTGCTACTTGGTGTACAGAAGATGAGCTTCTCCAAAGGTCTATTTCTAAAATTTAGTCTTATTGGTACAAAGACAAAATGAATATGATTGTCAGTGGTAATCCATGGCTTTCAGTGGCAGAACATTTATCACCTGTTGTCACTGGGTCATGTACCTATAGAAAAACAGGCTTGGCGTCCAAGCAAGTGGTGAATTAATATGACTTAATGTAGACGCTGAAATATAAGGAGAGGTAACTTGGTTATGTTTAATTGTACTTTGTGAAAAGTGAGTTCAGCATTATGATTGCCATGAAAGTAGCCCTCTCCTCCTGTAACAATTGCGTATCAGAAACAAGTAATAAATGGGTATTATTTTAGGTCACTGAATTTATGTTGATTTATTACACAATAATAGAAAACAAAAATGATGCATATGTCACCAAATCCTGAGTGTACTCAGAATGCAAGAATGTGAATGCAAGAATGAACTGAATTTAATGAGCTGCATGTAATTACCAGGGATTTAGGCTCAATGTGTTAGTGTGAATAGCTGGGGAAAGCACTAACAGGTTTCTCATATGATTGACTAAATTCTAAACCTAAGGGTGGATTACACTGAGAAGTTGTAAGTCTGTAATTACTGTAATTACTGTAAACCAAATAAGATATCTAAAGCGTAAGAGAGGTGGTGATACTGAATTAGTTTTTTACATATATCTGCAAACCATCCTCTACTTTTTTGTCTTTGATATGTCTTCAAACCCTGATTTTTGGAGTTCTTAATGAAGGAAGTATTTGCCTTCTTAAACATTCTGTAAACACACTTCTTTTGTGAGCCAGTAGTGAAAGTTGAGAGGCTGTCATTGAAATCGACCTCACAAATCTAAAAGGGATGATGGCTCTAAGAGTGATACAGAGGAAGTCAAGAGGTCAACAGGTACCATGGAAGTCAAGAGGTCAACAGGTACCATGCCTGGTGGTTCAACAATTTAAAACATAGCACTACAAAGCTAGCCATAGTCACTACAGTTGGAGTCCGATCACTGGCCAGGTAGGTAGGTGACCCACATGGCCCAGTTGCCTGCTGTCCCTCTCAGCAGTGTATTTCAGTCAGTCAGCCTGTTCTGTTTCCCATACTGTACCTGGTGAATTCTCATATCCCTACATCTCTGGCCTGTACCTCAGTTATTACATGCATAAATAAGTAAAAACTTTAAAAAAAATCATCAGGGCTGAAGCAGTAATAGGAGTGATTTGATCACAGACACTAGATGTGGGGAAATTCCTCATGGTGTCCTTAAGGCTAGTGATATTGGGAGCAGTCCAGTACACCACAATATTATAACTTAGGTTTATTGAAGCTATAAACTTACTTCAAGGAAGCCTGAGTTAGATGTGACTACTTAAATAATTTTAAAAATTGAATTAGGGACCCATAGGTGGGAAAGAGGTAGTTCTTCTTGAATAAGTCAAATCATGCATGTAGCTGCTGATACAGTGAATGATTTCATCTTGGAGTGTTAGATTTTTTTTTTTCATTTAGTTTCCCAAAAATACACAGCATATTGTGTGCCCTACAGCATATTGTGTCATATTTATTGTTCAGATAATTTGACCTTTCCATCCACGGTGTACCACGCTGATATTATGTTAAAGGCACTCTGCTGATTGCAACTGGTAAACAAGAACTTCTAATTCCTTAGACAACTTTGTAAGCTCTTTGCATGACAGAAGTTTGACTCCTCAAAAATTCAGAACCTTGACATTTTGATAAAATATGTAGAGAGTCTGTGATCTGGGGCATGATTAGGAAATAAAGTCTTCATTTGTTTCCTTCCAAACCAAGAGGTACCCCTGCAATTGGAGTTCTCTTAATTTAGGAGTCAAAATTTATTTCAATTGGGTATGCTACTGCTTATCATTGATTATTAACCATAAAGGTAACCAGTTCTGAGGATTGCTCAGAAAGAGATAACTAACCATTTCAGACCACCATACAAATTGCTTCCAACTAAGGCAATGTAACCAATCTAAATGCATTCTAATCCTAATCTAGATTGTTTAATTTATGAAAGGGATTGCAAAGACTTTTGGGAAGGTACTTGGGGGTGAGGCCAATCACAATGAGAACATTTGGGATATTAGAGAAAGTTGCACTGCCCTTTTCAGGTAATTATTTTGAGAAATTTACAGATTGGTGCTGGGTTCTGGTTTTGACTGCTGTGCTATTAAGCAACTATGAAATATGTATAATCTAACCACTAAATTGTGAGGTTGTG